TTATCGGCGCATGTAGGGATAGAGTTCACATAGAAAGAATATTTGCCTTTTCCGACTCCACCGTCGCCTTATGTTGGGTTCATTCTTCACCCCACCGTTGGGATACGTTTGTCGCGAACCGAGTGGCCAAGATCCAAGACGAGTTAGAAACGCGGAACTTTTATCACGTGTCCGGTAAGGAAAACCCTGCCGATTGTCTATCCCGGGGACTCACCCCGATGCAAATAATGGACCACCCGCTTTGGTTCCATGGACCTTCTTGGGTTTACTTGGATCCCTCACAATGGCCAATAACCGATTTCGAACCTTCGTCAGTGTCACAACCGCCGGAAGAGAAGAGACACGCTCTAGTGGCGAACGTTTCGAGCGAGGTTTCTCCAATCATTGCTCTGGCGAACCGCTTGTCCTCTTGGTCGAAATTATTGCGTAGCGTAATTTACGTTTGTCGATTCGCGAAGCTTTTACCGCGACGTCCGTATGTCTTAGCATCCGATTACAACTATGCCGAGTCGCTAGTATTACGTGAACTTCAACGTGCGCACTTCTCTGAAGAAATTACAAGATTACAATCGAATAGAGCTTGTAGTCGCGCCTTTCAACGCCTTAAGCCATTTTTACAGGATGGGATTGTAAGGGTAGGTGGACGCTTGTCCAACTCGCAATTGAGTTTCGACCAACGGCACCCTATAGTTTTACCGCGTAAAGACCATATCATGAACTTATTAGTCGATTATCATCATAAATTGAACTCGCACGCTGGCCCCGATTTATTGATGTCGATCTTGCGTCAGAATTATTGGATTCTTTCTGCACGTAGTTTAATACGCAATCGGGTGCACAGATGTATAGCTTGCTTTCGGGCACGCCCCAAGCCGTCATTTCCGGAAATGGCGGAACTTAGATCTTGTAGAGTGATACAATCGGTAAAGCCCTTCACGCACACCGGGTCTGATTTTGCTGGTCCGTTTAAGGTCACGCTCACTCGCGGGCGTGGTATAAGATCCACAAAGGCTTACGTCTGCATTTTCGTATGTCTAACTACTCGAGCAGTGCATATAGAACTCGTTGGTGATCTAAGCACAGCAGGCTTTATGGGTGCATTTAAAAGATTTCTATCGCGCAGAGGCCCTGTAAGTAAATTATATTCGGATAACGGTACGAACTACGTCGGTGCAAAACGTATTCTATCGGAACTACACGAGCTCTTAGCTAGCAAGTATTATAATTCGGAGTTCGCTCACATTCTAGCCGAGAACCGCATTGAGTGGTCTCTGAACGTCCCAGCCGCGAGTCATTTTGGGGGCAATTGGGAGACTAATATTAAAAGTCTAAAGAGCCACTTATACCGAGTAATAGGAGATCAAATTTTGTCCTTCGAAGAGCTAAGTACGGTGCTCGCTCAAATTGAATGCGTAATGAATAGCCGCCCACTTTGTCGGACGTTATCTAGTGACCCCTCGGAACCGCTGGCTCTAACTCCAGCACATTTTTTGACTTTAACGCCTCTAAGGTATCTGCCCGCCGCGGATATGGATGAGAACAGACTTAGCATTTCCACACGCCACAAATTATTAGATCGGTTAGTGCAATCGTTTTGGAAACGATGGAGGATGGAATACTTGCATACTTTGCAGTCTCGGCAAAAATGGAACACAGCGACAGAGCCTTTAGCTGTAGGAACCGTAGTTGTGCTCACTAAGGAGAATACGCCGCCTCTCCACTGGCCGTTAGGAATCGTCGAGGAGGTCTTTCCCGGTTCCGACGGAGTAGTTAGGATAGCTCGCGTTAAGACCACGGTTGGGTCTTACCTACGTCCTGTTATCCGTTTGTGCCCCTTGCCTCTTCCATAATTTAAATTAGCTTTCTAGACTGAAATTGTAGTTTAATTTAGGTAATCTTAGCGTTAGTTAGTTATTTGTTAGTCGATCTTAGCTCTAGTTGTTTAGTTATTTTTTTTGAAGGAAATCCTTCAAGGGCGGGGGGAGATGGTTGCGCGGAAAACCATTCGCGTTTTTTTATTTGACGGTAGGAACTTGTAGAATCATTATTCCTTTCCAAACAATATCATTCGTACCCTCCTATCGACACATCGGGGTGGTGGGGTGGGAGGGGAAAGAAGACGATTCTAGAACATCGCGTAATCACCCGAGCCGAGGATATATAAGACACGCGCGACCGATGCGCGAGCCTCTTCTCCCGCCGCAGTCGTCGTTGAACCAACGCTTCTCTCCTGACGCACCACTGGGGCCCCAGAAGTGTCTGTCCAGAGGAGGTTCCGGAAGTCGCCGCTATAGTGATCGACAGGAAGAAGAAACCCCGGTGAGTCAATATTCCTTAATTATACCTGCTTGCTAATAGTTTAACCCGCTCCAATCTGTGTTTTTTTTCCTAGTCAAGCAGGATTCCTTTCATCGATTCGACAAGTAATAGTTTAGTTTAGGGAAGAGCGAGTGCATTGTACCGCATGCTATAGTAGTCGCTTTACGTAAGCGTAGAAGCAATCGCATATACAGTCCACTTTAGTTAATATCTCGCGTAATAGGTTTGAGGTTTGACCGGGGAACTAGATTTTCGGCAGCCTTAAACACGTGGCTCCACCACTAGGTATGTACCATTGATTAGGTTTTTAAAAATCGCAGTGGCGTAGCTACCTTGGCACCTGGGGCGGAAGTTGGTGGTGTCACCCCATCGAAAGTAAAAAGAAATAAATTTTATATGATAAAGGACATGTTTGTGCATTATTATTTATAATATTGAAGAAATAACAAAACTCAATAATAACTAAGAAAAGGAATTGTTACCTATACATTTAAAATTTCTTCTTTCTAGCTTTGACTTTTTTGTTATCTATCACTATAGAATATAATACACATTTACTATAGAATATAATATACACTATATAATATAATGTACGTTATATATAATAAACTTTTAACAAATCACGCCAACCACACATAACACACTTCCTTCACGAAACAAATGAGAAATGTTACAACTTAGACGTCAAAGATCGCGAGTATGGGACGTGGAATCCCCCACGACAGCATCAGGCTCTTTTGCGGGAATCCCCGAATTATACATAGCTGTGTTAGCTGAGCTAGTGCTAGTGGAGGAATCCCCGAAAAAGAAATGTTTTGTGCTAGCGATTTTTTTTTGTTTGTACATTGTTCTTAAAGTTGAGAGACCGGGAGGGTGTCACCCCAAAAAGGTGACACCCGGTGTGCCCCCCCCCCTTTGCTACGCCACTGAAAATCGTATTTAGATTTCTCTGATAAGTTTTCATTTTGAATGACCATTTAGGATCTATAAATATTTAAAATTGGTTAGTGACCATTTTCGCGTATATTTTCAAAACTTCTATAAGAACTGTGATAAAGGTCTTATCTAATCATACAAACATCAATAGTTTTTTTTATGCAGTCGGTTTAAAAAAAGTATTAATCTTGCTTGTTCCTTTGTTCTGGTTTACTGTTATCTCAAAAATTGTAACAGATTTATTTTCGTTGCGTTAGTGTCACTTTTCGTGTTAATGAAAATGCAATATAATTTTATTCTTTAACTGCTGTATAAAAAAACTGTAAATATTGCTTTTTTGACTGTTGCAAATAAGAATAAAACGTGTAAATGTATAACTAATAAAAAGTGTAGTGTATCGTATTTCTAGTAAAAATAAGTGTCTAATATGTTTCAATTGCTGTACAACAATTTTTTTTTCATAATCATCAAATCAAAATTCATTATTTGAAAAATTAATTAATTGTTGCGGATTAATATATTATTATAAGATTGCTCATCAGTCATTCGTTATCATAATTATTATGCATCTAAAACAACATAACAGCATGATAACAGGATTATCCTTTTGTTGTATTATTGTAGTTATTAAAAAATAACACGGATTACTGACATGCAGCTGTTAATGCCATCATTACATAGCAAACTGGGAACATTCTGATTTCTTCTGAGATAATAAGTGTTCAAGCTATGAAATTTACATAATACTAGCAATTGATTTTTTTACTTGATTTTAGACGAAATCGTAAATTTATAGAACTTGACAACAGCGCCACCTACCTGGTCCAATCGTGAACTTAACCGTCCAGGGATCCATTCAAACATTCCAATTATAATCGTTCAAGCCATTTTCTAGTTTTAGCGAGACTAACGAAGATTCCAATATATAGAGACATATAATACTACAATACATACATAATAGAACGGGGGAGTGGGCGGAGCCCGTGTAGCCACTAAAATGCCACTAATACGTCAATTCACACGTATAACTGTCAACACGAGATGTGTTTTGACGTTACAATCGTTTCAAAATGCCAAATTGTACCCTATTTACAAATAAATATGCATTAAAATCCGTCTGACAACACAGCGAATCGGGTTTGTAGTAGTGATTAACTGATAATACGACGTAATTGCTTGTATGTGTCCTCCCGGCGACGCCTATCCTCGTACAAAATAAGGTTGACAGCCATTCTACTGTGTATTATAGTATTCTATGTATAGAGATTAGTGTGTACGTTTTTTTCGTTTAGACGTTTATTCAATCTCTCTTAAAAGGTGAAGGGATTTTATAAATGACACTACCTACGTACCCGTGACTTATTTAAATTTAGAATAATAATTTAACGTGATACACACCCACCTTTAGTCGATAAGAAAGCTCATATTTTAATGCTCTAGAGTCTAGCTGGGATAGATTAGTTACAATGCACAACAGAGCCGCGTGATTGGCGATAGTGAAATGCTGGGAGTTCGAATACTAGCCCAGGAAGCTTTTTAAGAATTTTGTAGCAACCTTGAAGCAAGAAATATGCTTGATGTATATTGTTTCATTTAGTTTTTGGTTATAGAACTAAAAATACATAGGTGAATATTCTAACTACTCTTTAGGAGATAATGGCGCGACAAAAAATATTGTTTAATTAAAGAGGGTAACTCAATAATATAATGAATACTATAATTAAACATTGAAATTTTAAGCATACTTTAATGTCGTCTTGTTGCGGTTTAGGTACCAGGGACTGGATAAAACCTGTTTTGCATCTTCAAGAAGTGTTGACATATTTGCCTAGAAACAAAATATTGCCTTTTAAATATACATATGACAAAGAGAACATTTATAATCAGTTTGTAGGAATTGAAGTCCATTAGGCAAATGAGTTGCCGTTTAAGAAACATGGTGATGATCAGTTTTTATAAGAAAATGTAAACATCATAACATAACTATTGAATTTCATTAAACTAATTTAAAATAGTATTTTCAAATAAATAAATAAATCGGAATGATCATTGGTACATATTTCTAAATCATTTTACTAAATCAAAAAACGTTATTACATAACAGAAAGACAATTTTCCAAACCTGTTTGATTTTTTCCACACTTAAAGATTTGTTTATAGAAATCAGTACGGAATTTGCTTTCTTAATTGAATTGGCAACCGAATTTTTGGCTTCGTGCAGTTTTTCTTTTTCTGCATTTTTTAGTACAAGTATTTTATCAATCACATCCTGCTTTTTTTTCTGGATTATTGACGTAAGTTTTGAGAAATGTTGTTCGACTTCATTTGTTATTTGTGTAAGGTCTGTGGATCCTGTCTCGTTTTCTATATTGTGAAGCAAATGACCAATATCCTGTAATTATAAAACACCAGGTCACCACCAAAAACTAATAAAAAATTAGCACTGTGTGAACAAAGACGTTTTTATTGTAAATAAGTTACCTCTATGTTAGGAATTAAAGACGTCGAACAATAATTATCTATATATAAGTTTTAATTAAAATTTTCTTACACGCCACATATATAGTTTTAACTGGGTTTGCCTGTATTGTATTCTTTACTTTTCATATTGTAAATAGCTTCATGATTACGCACAAAATTAGGTCGGCATGCCCATAAAGTATGACATTGACAGGTACTGTCTGTACTACTAAGAAATTCAGGACTTCATAGGCGTGATTTTACTGACAGCTGTCGCAGAGATCAAGCTATCTTTTATGAACTATAGGCGATTTTTCATGAGACAAATAATATTTTTCCGCATTTGACGGCTCCTTCGTATAGTGGCTTAGCAATGAGTTGCGACGCTGAGAGCCACGGGTTCGAATCCCGCTCGCAAGAAGTATTTGTATGGTGTACAAATAATTGTAGAGTTTTTCAAATACATGTTATGGCAATATTTGGCATTTTTAATAATGCCAATGATATATTTATATTTTAATAGGAGATACAATTAAATTTCTGCTATTTTGTAACTGAGACCTTTTTTCCTGCACTAACTTAGTTGACTTAGAGACACTATGAACTCCAAACATCCCCTGCCTTATTAAATGTCCTCGCTATCTTTAACCATTTGTAAACAGTTCTGCATTAATGATTGATTATTCATCATCACTACAGTTCATTTCAAGTACCTCTTGTATCCATTGACTTCCTGCATCTCTATTCACTTCATCAAGTGGGGAGGAGGCCCCTTACACATTACTTCCCCTACGAGGCAGCCACTAGAAAACTTCTCTTCCCCATTGATTGAAAGTTCTTCGAGCTATATGGCTGGCTCATCGCTATTGTCGTCAGCTTACTGATCCGTTGAAATGATTTTCAATCAACAATATGGTATCATCAGGACGTTTGATAAAAGTGATTCTATCAGGTATATATACTTGACCATTTTTTGTTCTTGGTCAACATAAATTATCTTTCATTTATGGTACAAAAATGACTAATGTATTTCTCTTTGCTAATGCAGATGCTTATTGTAAAATAAGTTATCTAGTATATGTCAAATGAACTAGCTATTTGGAATTAAAATGAAAAAAAAAATTACACAAGTACTTACAACCGCAGTTTTTGTCAATCGCCTAAATGTCTCATCAACTTTTGGTGAAATTTCGGCTAATTTTTCCAATAGTTCTTCATTCTGCAATTTATATAAAAACATATGTTTGAACGAAACTAGCTATTACGGATTATAACGGGTTTAATTACTATATTTTTATATTCCCAACATTTCGAGTACTTTGCAGCATCCACACACACAGTCACAGGAACCCTGAGGTGTCCAACATCCCAATGTCACAGTTAACCACAGCTACCTTTAACTCAAAAATTATTAATTTTTGGTCTGATTTACACAGAAGGAACTTTTAGTACATATCATGACTGCCTTGACTTGACTGCCTCGTTGGTCTAATGGTTGTAGTAGTGCGACTGCTGATCATGAGGTCCTGGGTTCAAATCCCGGGTCGGGTCAAAAAATCAATTATTGAGTTTTTCTGTCAAGATATTCTCAGTAGCGGCCCGGAGTCAAGAAGTTGGCGGTGTCTCATCCCCGTGCCTCGGAAAGCACATAAAGCCGTTGGTCCTCCGCCTGATCTCTCTCTGGTCGTGTCGGTTTACCATCCCATCGGATTATGGGAGTGAGGGAATAGAGAGTACACCTGTGCTTGCGCATACACTTGGCACTATAATCCTATCCTGCGCCGATGGCTAGCCTCCGTTGAGGCAGGCCGCCGTGACCGAAATTCGGTCCGGAATGTTGTAGTATGTTTGTATTGGAATTTAATTTCATTAATATAGGATCCCAAGCAAATGGTAACACCTGGCCATCTTCTCTATTGAAATTAGTATGATTCCTAGATTTTTTTAATAGAAAAGGATGACAAACGAGCACACAGTTCTACCGATAGTAAGTGGTTGCTATGGTCCATAGACATCTACAATTATCCTCGATTGAGAATCGAAATGCATTTGCGTTGTCACCCATGACGATTAAGATAGAATGCCTTGTTTCCAGTAAAAAGGTCTCGGGTTTTCTAAACTCAACAAACGAAACACGCAGCATTAAGATGCCTTTTTACGCTGGTATTCTGTAAGAGCGTGATCCTACCCCGGTTGAGCTGACCCATTCTTGCTGATGTGTAAATCATTACCTTAATAGGATTGCAATAGCCTTGCACATCATCAACATCCTGGGTAGAAATCTCATTTCTTTCGACTTTGTAGTTTTGCATAAAATGTGTAAAAATTTTACAAACTGCCACCTGTCCGGATCTTCGAGTCACATTCTTTATGTTGTCCTTTGATGGGGTTTTTATTGATATGTTCAGGGATAAACTTTAATTTTCACTCTTTTGGAATGATTTTGCATTAATTTACATTAAAAATTATGTTGAAAAGGGCTATTCCGTTCATCCACCCTAGGGTGGATACTCAGAATCGCGTGTTGGTTTATCCTCCCCAGACGGGATGGATAATCACAATTCGTATATTATTTTTCTTCCGATTCTCCCCCTTGGCTGTGTAGTCATTTGTAAAAACATGATAGAAACTGTCCCAAGATTACTTAGAAGACGTTAGCATACTTATAAAAATACGTAAGTACATACTTCTTGTTTAAAGGTCAAAACTGAAATATTTTAATTGTTCAATTACATATCATTCATCATGACAGCCCTTCACAAGTCCACTGCTGAACATAGGCCTCCCCCAAGAAACGTCACAAAGCACGGTCCTGAGCCACCTGCATCCATCGACTTCCTGCATGTCTTACCAGGTCGTCACTCCATCTAGTGGGGGGTCGCCCTACACTACGCCTTCCGGTACGAGGCTGCCACTAGAGAACCTTTCTTCCCCATCGGTTATCGGTTCTTCGAACTATATAGCCGGCCCATTGCCACTTCAGCTTACTAATCCGTTGAGTTATGTCGGTCACTCTGGTTTTACTGCGGATATCCTCATTTCTGAGTCAATCACGCAGAGAAACTCCGAGCATAGCCCTCTCCATAGCTCGCTGAGCGACCTTGAGCGTCCTCATACGGCCAGCAGTGAAGGACCACATCTCTGATCCGTAAGTCATCACTGGCAACACGCACTGGTTGTACACTTTAGTTTTCAGAGATTGAGGTATACCTGACGAGAAGAGCCGTGGTAGCTCAGTGGTTAACGCTCGCTGTAAATATAACAGAATGCGAGTAACCCGGGTTCGATCCCCGCCGGCATCAATGAAATTGTTAATTGCAATTTTAAGTGCTGATTTACCACGTGCTCGGCGGTGAAGGAAAACATCGTGAGGAAACCTGCATGTCTGAGGAATAAGAAAAAAAATATTTCGAAGACATGTGAAGTTCGTCAACACGCATTTGGGCAGCGCGGCGGACACTTCCTTGCCCTAAACCCTCTCAGAAATGAGGGGAGGCCTGAGCCCAGCAGTGGGACGTGTATAGGCTGTAACTTTGACGAGAAGATGTGTCGTAATTTCCCGAACGCCACGCCACGCCCAACCGAGTTGAATCCGTAGATTGACCTCTCGGTCGAAGTTGGACTTACCTAGTCGGACTATTTTTCCCAGGTAAACATACTCGTCAACAACTTCGAGCATAGTGCTCTTAACAACTACCGGCATAGGTGAGACATGGACATTAAACATGCATATCATTCAATGTGACATAATTTACATCATTTTGAAGATATCTTATGATAGAAATGTTTTACTGCAATTAATTTGAATTGCATTTTATTGAAGTAGGTATTTAAATTTAATAAATATATTATTAATGTAAACACAGTATTGGAAATAGTATGGTACTTAACAAATTTTAAATGTTATTGAGAGACGAATTTATACAGGATATACAATAATTATGTCTACTCAATAATGAAATTAGTGTTATTGGTCATCTCCTCCACAAGGAAGTTTGATTTGATTTAAATGCAGTATGTAAGTGCTGCAATATGATTTTTGTGTTTAAGTTTGTGGTTATTAAAAATTAATCAGTAATAAGTTAAAGTATGCATATATTTTCTGTTGAACTGTACTTGGGGTGGGAAGGCGGAACATTAATCAAAAAGTGAATAATGGATAAACGCTCACGCGTTTCCGAGTATCCAACCTAGGGTGGATTTCTTAGGGTGGATAAACGGAATAACCTGTTGAAAGATAAAATGAACTCACCACTTCTTGTATGGATACCAAATTATGATTTTTGCATGACTTTTCACCACCAACAACCAAACAATCCATGCAAATAGATTTAGAACAATCCTTACAATAGTAATCCAATGACTTTTCTGTATGCACTTTGCAATTGTTTAATGTTAATTTTGGCTCTAAAACAAAAAAAATCACGAAATAATTTTTACTGATATTGTATTATATATAAAACTTCATTTTTACATTCTTAGTAAATACTTATACGTTAAAATTATTATATTTTTAATGTATAAGTACTATTCCAAAAGGATTAATTGCCACTGTTATTGATAACATCTTACCACATTTTTTGGTAATAATAATACCAATAAAATAAAATAAAACTTTTTTATTGCTATTTGTACGTACTAGTTTCAATTTATTGAAGCTTTTAAGGGTTAAACTATTTTGCAATGAACAAAAGAGGTGATAGTCGGAAGTCGAAAAGATCCACCATTTTTTTGTGTCAGGGAATCTGTGTGTTGCAGCATCATTATGGTGGTAAATTAAACTTTTACTTGATTGAATAAAACTGGAGGCTTTAACTTTTTTGTGATATGTAGAAATTAACAGTAATTGTTTGATTAGGGGAAAGCTTCCAATGGGTTATTCATTTGAATAACATCACAAACTTATCTTTTTTTTCAAATGCCTGTCTAGTTTTGGAATTGATGAACTTGATCCTACAACATACTTGCGACAACTTGGGATGTTTGAAAGATTCATTTTAAATATGCGCTTCTTGGTTTACAGTAAATCTGTATCACTGTTATAAATCTGTCTGTTTTCACCACTTTTGCAAAGTGCATCTGCAGTAAATATTGTGTTAATTCACTTACGTCACATTACATACTTATAAATTCACATTACCAAAAGATAAAGAACTAAAGTGTTCCAGGTATATTTTATATTGTAGACTTAATTAAGTAGTGTTTATATATTTTATAAATAGTCAATAGTAACAGTATAGTCACAGTAATTTTATCTATACAGTATTCTAACTTTATACAAACGGACGAAGCGAGAGCTATGCCTATGCACCTCGATCTCGGCATGCGCTCGGCATGCAGACAGTCGTGACTGTGCCGCAGTGATGATTTTGTGGCATATATAAAAAATGGATGAAATAAATAATAGAATAGAATTAAAGAAAATAATAAATCCGAACTTCATTTAAAACCAAACATATAAATTGTAAAGTAGCTGGCAGGTATCTATAACCAAGTAAAAGATATTCCTTTTCTCCACCTTGTCCATGTTTCCCAAAACAAATTTTTAATTAAGTTTTATATTAGAATGCGGATTTTTTATACTTAAAAAAATTTAATAATAAGCATTTCGTACGTCTCAGACGAGGCGCAAATATTTTTCGGTCGCAAATTTATAAGACCGATTTGTTATTCAAACATAAACTTGGTTTTTTAATTAAATCAATCAATCAAAAAACGACACGATTTTATTGAACACTTCCTATTCAATTCACAAAGTACATATTTTATTTGTTTACTTATATAAAAATAGTATATTTACAATCATAAAACTAAATGGAAACACAAAGTAGGCAAACGTAATTAAAATGCTGGAGGCAGGCAGCCCTATCGCATGTTTACGTACCGCGCGGTTGTAGGCATTTATTTCAAAGATATGGTGGAGTTACAATACAATACCGTATAGATATAATTACCGTGGTATAGTGCCCTCATCATACACTTCATAAATATGTCAAGCTACAGCTGCTTGATTTTTTTATGAATTTTAGAGACACTTGATATACAAGTGGCTCTAAAATTCATAAAAAAAGTTGATGACATGTTGGCAGCTTGATAATCTGATAGGTCTAGGTATATGTTGCATCATATAGATCATTACTCATTATCTATATGATGCATCATTACATTATTGCGTAATGCATATATATTATGCATTAAAACCTTGGGAAACAGAAACATTTAAGACTTTTGCACACCCTTATAATAAATACTTACCAATATTCTGTAGTATATGGTTTCTGAAAACAACAAAGTTCTTGTGGCTTTTGTTGAAGCAATTATCACACAGTATTGTAGCACATTGTTGGCACATTTTTGTAGTTAGGTTCTGGCACTCCACGCATTGACCTATAAAACATGAATATAGTAAATTTTAATTTATAACCTTAATGGTATTGCCTTTTAAGGGCATTTAAAAGTTTGCTAGAAACATTAAATACAAAATGTTAGTATATCTTTCTTCTTCTTCTTCTTTCTTTTGTGGCGGTTTGATAAAATTCGCCAATGACGTATTGAGTGGAAAATGAAAGCTTATGAGTTTAATTAAAATAAGAGTCTGTGATAATACAAGGATTCAGTTTTCCTCCGAGAATTTTGACAAATCTATTTGTTGAATTACCTAAACAAATATGACAAACACAGGTGTTAGACTTTTACCAGTATGTTAAACGTGACAAGGATTTAAAGTTTCATATTATTAGTATTAATAAAATCACATAAAATATACACAAAAGGAGTACTAGTATATGATAAAAGAGAATTAAAATCTATAGGTCGAGGAATATAAGGAGGAAGGTAATTATAAAGGGAGGAGGATAATTTGGGATAGTCGAAAAAAAATATAGTTTTTGAACCTTCATCTAAGCCACATTCACACAATGAGCTATCCCTTACTCTGATTTTTGCCAGATGTGCATGTGTACAAGCGTGTCCAATTCTTAATATACAAATGATTGAAGTTGCATGTTTATTTGCTTTGTTAAATTTAAAGAACCAGGGCTTGGGAGGAATAACCTCTTGGATGGCAGCAAAGTGCTTACCTTTAACATTTTTGGAAACTTCCCATAATTTATTCTAATTTTCATTCAGATTCCTTTTAGCTAGCAAAATTAGGTCATGTGAGTAAATTAAATTTTATAGAATGCCATTAGCAATTGCATTTTTAGCGAGTACATCAGCTGTTTCGTTACCATGGATACCACTGTGCCCTGGAATCCAGGCCACTGAAACATGGATTCCTTTAAGATGGCATCTGAATAGGGTATTTTTTATTTTAAGAATTAGTGGAAATTTATGTTTGTTATGGAATTGATTGGACAAAATAGCTAACAAACAACTTTTGGAATCTGTGAAAATAACTGTTTTATTAAGATTATGTGACTCTACATATAACAAAGCTTCACGGATTGCAGTTGCTTCACCGGTAAAAGTGGAGGATAGTGAGGGGCATTTAAAGTTAAGAATGATTTTGAACTTAGGAATCCAAACAGCAGCTCCAGTATAGTCTTCATCAGACTGTTTTGAAGCGTCTGTGTACATGACAAGCCAATCTTTAAAGGTGTTTTCTATAATTTCTTTTAATTTCAAATTTGCCATTGGAGAATCCTTTTCTATACCTAGATTTCTATATCTAGATGAATGTCGAGTTGGTAAACAAAAGCCTCGTAAGGAACATCAAAGAGTGGATTTATTTTACATTGAAAGATTGGGTAAGGAAGCTGAAGAAAAATTACAAAACTTCTAAACAAGCAGGGAGAGTCCGTATGGGTCCAGTATCGGTCAGATGAGATATACTCTGAAAGAAGATGCAATTTAGGAATTAGGGGTAGATCTGAAAGTTGGCAGATCTTAAATAAGAACCTGTCTGAGAGGTATTGCCTTCTTAAGCTTAAAGGAGGATCTATGCACTCAACCTGAAGAACATTTATTGGTGAGGATTTCATTGCCCCTGTAATAATGCGAAGGCATTTTGATTGAATTTTGTCCATTACTTTCAGGGATGATTTATTGCAAGGCTCCAACAGAAACATCCATAGTCAAGGAGGCTTCGTATTAAAGCATTGTACAGTAATTTCTGAGAAAAAGGATGGGACCCCCACCAACCGACAAAGACCGAAGAATATTTATGTTTTTTTCGCATTTTTGTATTATATATTCAATGTATTAACCGAAGGCCAATTTCGAATCAAGGATAACTCCCAAAAATTTAACATTGCCTCTAACTGGAATAGGTTGCTTATCATATACAACAGATATATCGGGAACTCGCCTTTGGCGGGAAAAGATCACCACACTACTCTTGGCCACAGATAAAGAGAGACCATGATTAGTTAACCATTCTTGTAAATAATCCATGGATGAGTTTAGACGGGAACATGCCACTGTGAAGTTGTTTAAGGAGATGTATAGAGCTAAATCGTCTGCATATTGAAGAACATTACAAAAAGAATTAACTGAAAGTTCTAAATTGTGAGTATATATAGAATAAAGGAGAGGACTAAGAACTGAGCCTTGTGGAAGTCCTTTCCATATTGTTTTTGGGGGAAGCAGGAAATTCTTAACATTTATAGATATTGATCTAGAAGAGAGAAAGTTAGAGACGTAATTGACTATCCTCAGTGGAATGCTCAGATTAAGCATTTTCTGCCTGAGCACAGGAAGAAGCACATTATCATATGCAGAAGAAATATCCAAGAAAAGTCCTATGAGAAATTCATGTTTTGAAAAAGCAATATGAATATCTGTGACCAAAGTACTAAGGCTATCCATGGTACTTAAACCTTTTCGGAAACCGAATTGGCTTTTAGGTAAGAGATTATTCCTTTCCAAAAACCACACCAAGCGATTTTTTATTAAATGTTCCAAGATTTTTGCCAAAGTACAAGAAAGGGCAATAGGTCGGAACTGGAAGGGTTATTGCTAGACTTACCTGGTTTGAGAATGGGCAAAATAATTTGGGTTTTCCATTCAGCAGGAGGATCACCAGTAATATAAATAAAATTTAAAATGGATAGTAAGACAGTTTTAGTGTTCTCACTACTATTAATTATAAATGAATAAGGAATCCCATCAATACCTGGTGACGAGTCTTTAAGGCCATTGAGTACAACAATTCCTGAGAAGAAAAGGGGGAATCAAATTTATCATTTGTTTTTAAAAAAGCAGAATTAAAAACTAGGCATTCATCATAAGATGGGACTGTTTGTGGTGCAAGTTTATTAGAGAATTCATCTATCCACGGGGAAGGATCATCAGAAATTATATTTTCACTAGAAACTGCACAGCAATATTTTTTAACATTTCTCCAAACCAAATATGGGGGAGTCCTAGGTGACAGTGACTCACAGAATTTAAACCAACCAGTTCGCTTTTTGTCTGACAGTAATTTTAAGGTTTCTGCAGCAATTTTTTTATAGGAGATATAATTCTCTGCAGTCATAGAACGGGAGTATATTAATTCAGCCTCTTTTCTTCTCCTACAAGCTGCTGAACAATCTTGGTCCCACCATGGAGGGGAAGGATAATTATTTTTGAAAGGTTTTTTTAAGGGGATTGACTTATTAGCAGCAGAAATAATTGCATTTCTGAACTCTATATATACAGGAGCAATATTATCATTGTTAATTGGGGGAAGAGTTGAAACCTCTTGTTCCAAAACTGTAGAATATAATTGCCAATTAGCTTTGGATAGATTATACTTTAGTCTTGGGCAAAATGTAAAATCTATTCTAGGTGAAGTAGGAGGAGTGATGAATATAGGAAAATGGTCACTGCCAAAGCTAGAAGGTAATATTTGCCATAAAAGAAGGGAAGCAATATCTGGGGAACAGAGAGTTAAGTCAATGGCACTTCTAACATTTTGTAATAGGGATACTCGACGGGTAGGAGACCCGTCATTTAGAATACAGAGATTAAAATTATCAATAAGATCTAAAAATAAAGGAGCCAGTGAATCACACAGATGGGAGTCCCAAACAGTATGATGCATATTAAAATCTCCCAAAATAACAATAGGAGGTGACAGAGAAGAAATAAGTGTTGCAAGTTCTGTTAAAACATTTACATCAGGATTAGGAATGTAAAAAGAGAGAATAGAGACATTAAGGGCCTTAATAGCAACAGCATTTACTGCTGGACTATGAGAAGGGAGAGGAATTTCTGAAAATGTAACTGTTCTTGAAATTAAAATAGAGGTGCCAGCACGACCATCACTCCTATCATCCTGGAGGCATGCGTAGCCTGAAACCCTAAAATGAGACTCAGGCCAAGCCATGTCTCCTGGATGGCAAGAATGAAGGGATGAAGTTTATTAATGAGGTAAGTGAGTTCATTTTTTTATTTCTAATGCTCTGACAATTCCATTAAAGAATTGGTGGGACTGCGAATGTTACGGGCTAAGGAGGAAAGCTGATTAAAACTACTTTTACGGATTTTATCGCGTTTTATTTATATTAATTTTAATACACGACGTTTCGGGTGCTTTCCAGCACCCATGGTCACGGGGGACTGAGGTGACTGACGTCCCGATGTCAAAGTTAACCCGGAGTACCTTCAGCTTTTTAATTATTGTTTTTGGTCCGATCTACGCAATTAAACAGCTGCAATAATTAAAAAGCTGAAGGTACTCCGGGTTAACTTTGACATCGGGACGTCGGTCACCTCAGTCCCCCGTGACCATGGGTGCTGGAAAGCACCCGAAACGTCGGGTATTAAAATTAATATAAATAAAACGCGATAAAATCCGTAAAAGTAGTTTTAATCAATGTATAGTGTTCGCGTAAATATAAGAAATCATTATGAGGAAAGCTGAGTAAGTTTTTGGTGTAAGCTGAGAGGAAGTTCCGTGTCACTAAAACGAGAGATCATGTTAATTAGCATTGATATCATAAGTTCGCAGAAATTATCATTACTAGAGGAGTTGTTGTCATTTTCCAGTAGAGCACACCCATTAGGAAGGGAAGAATTAGGATTCTCAACAATTGCCTGATGGGCTGCCATATCATATCCAGAATTTAATGATTGGCTGCAGGTACGTTGAGGGATAAAAATTGTTTTTTTTTTATATGATGCAGTTTGTGAGAGTTGAGCCGAAGGGATTGAAAGACTGTCAGTTATAGTATAAGGGGTCTATTGAGAACAATTACGAGGCTGGATTCTTGTTGTATCAGCAAAGGATTTTTTTGTCTGAGGGAATCTAGCTGAAGCTTCTAAATATGAAATATTTTCTTGTGACATAACAAGTTTAATAGATTTTTGCCTTAGATGTTCAGGACACGTAGGGTCTTTTGCGGTGTGGGGACCAGAGCAGAATAGGCAAGTAGGAGTTTGTCGAGTACAAGATAAACCTTCATGATTTTGTCACATACAAAGCAGCGAGGGGATGATCGGCACTGGGAAGTAACATGGCCAAATCTACAACATTTATGACACTGAATTAGTGGCAAAACATATTTTTCCACTGGCATTGAGGTGTAAAAACAGTAAATATGGGGAGGAGGTTTTTGTCCAGAAAAAGAACAACCGTCTGAGTTGGAACCCATGAAACGCTATTGAACTCACTCACTGATCGTCTATTAAGTCGCCGTGCTTTAATTGTAGAACCGTAGCCAGAGGGAACTTCTATAGCTGCTATTAATTCTTCTAGTGTCCACTCTATGGGAACTTGTCTAACTAGCCCCATACGAGTGATACTATATGAGGGGATGGTTGCTTCATATTTAGAAATTTGGAGAGCTGGGTGATCGATAAAGGTGTTTGCACCTGCAGCTGTTTTAAACTCCACTGATATTCTATTTCGTCCAACTTTTTTGACTCCATCATGGACTATATTGTGACTAGAAAGTGACCGAATTTAATTGGTTTAAGAGTTACTCCAGACAGCTGATCATTTGAGATTTTACTTACGTGAACTAGAAAAGGAGCGGCATCATCTTGAGAGTACTTAACTTTTTTATTAATAAAATCAGGATGGGTATATGAGGATTTTATTGAAGGAAACTGTTGATTTGTATCAGTAATAACAATTTTTTGTGGATGGGCAGACTCGTTACTTACTTGGGCATGTTTACGGTTAATTAGTTCTACATTATCAATGTTAATGGGTAAGGAAAAGGAATCATTGCGAACCCTTCCGGGATTGGGAGGTTCGTCCTCCATCTTATTACAACAACAAAAAATTACATAAAAACGGCACAACAAGCACTTACTAATTTACAGATGTTAAAACCTCCACCAAGACAGAAAAATTTACAATTATATATAATTATATAGTAATTCCACAACACTTAATAAGACAATAAATTTTAAGCAAAAAAAACGTATATCTTTCAACTTAAGTTGAAAACATAGAAGGCAGTTTGAATGTTTTTTTTTAAATATTAGAAGTTCAGGAAATTTCATACTATTATTTACTTACCCATAGATTGCCTCATGGGGGGAATATTTGCCATATTAGCCACACTCGGCAAGGGGGTTGGCAAGTGTAGTTTTTTTTATTTTTAGTTCATATGAGGAAGACACAGCTGCCCAGCTCCTGATTTGTTTCTCTGTCGCCAATTACGACACCCACGGAATGATATGGGGTAGTGGATATTATCACACTGCCTACTACACTTGTTGTTAAATATATATATATATACATATATATATACATATATATATATACATACACATATATACATATACACATATATATATATATATATATATATATATAATTTGTAAAATACCATGCTTTAGTATTTTCTATTTTTGGTAATTATAATACTGTTTAAAAAAATTAAAAGTTATGAAATATAATGTGCATTTTCCATAGTCGTTGCATAAAATTATATATGTATTGATGTAGTGGTAGTGTAAAAAAAATACATCCAACCCATTTTATGTTGCAATTAGATACATTACATACTTCAGAAATTTAACATATAATTAAATGAAATTAAATCTGCTTCTATAAACCATGATTGATATACAAAATCAGTGTTAATAATAAATATAAAAGAAATTTGCCTTGAGTAATTTCCGTGCCACGAATAATTGCTTCCAAATTGAGAAAATAATCTTCATTTTTATTCTTGGCTTCCGTATTAGTCTGAAATCAAAATTAAGTTACAAAGCTATAAAATATCAAATGGGTCTTCAATATTTTATAATACATATTTAATATCTTTTAGTGAATACTACTGGATTAAACAGTTTAAATTATTCATTTCAAATGCACAAATTTCAACTTTTAGATTAAGGCATAGTGTGACTTTTTTATAGCGACTGTTTAAAATTAAGGCATAGTTAAAAAGCTGAACTTACTTAATAGGAGATTCGCCTGTTAAAGTTTTGTTAGTTAAATGTTAAATATGGGTATTACTATAAAATAGTACTTTGAAATATGTGTGTAATTTATACTTTTAATTGATTCTGTCTATTCTAATTTTACTCATTGTATTTTATGAAAGATATATAGTTAAAAAGCAGAACGATCTCTGAAATTTTATACTGTGGGACACTTCAGAAGCAATACACAGAAAAGGTTGATCATAATATACATTTAGAATTTCAACTGATAGTTTTGCTATTCCATATGATGTAAAAAAATTATTTATGAAAAAAAAATGTAGATAGCTTGTAGGGCATCATACTTCCTTATACACATGCATACACTACTATCAGCATACCAATCACCAGACATTTTGAATGGAAGACTGAATGCATGGATAACCAGGATATACTACTGAATTTAGGGGCAATCTTGACAATAAACTTGAACTTCACAGTGTCGAAATTTGTAGTATACTTAGTTTTTTTAGTAAGTTTGATTCTTCAAATCGGTTGTAGGTTTCGAACAGTACAGCAACAAAAAGAACAATACAGTACAGCCAGATAATTTTATAAGGTTTGATGTGCTGGCTCAGCACGTTAAAATAAAAAAATATAAAAAAGCACAAGTATATATTACCTCTAAGAAATCGAGCGAGAGTTCCCCGAGCATATAAACATTGACAGGGAATAATTGATGCAGTTTAATTTTGTTTTGCAACAATAATGCTACATCATTAGCGGCTATTTCCATGTCACTATGACACACCTTGCATTCGATGGGTTCGCCAAACTTCACTAAGTTTTTAATACACTTTTCACACATTGAATGACCGCATTTTAAAAAAAGTGGTATATTGTCATTGCTCTGTTTTGAAGATAACGCTGTGGATTAAAATCGCATAAATACACATTAGAAATAAGATAATTATTTAATAACATACCTAATATGAGAAGGGTAGATATAATAACATTACTTACATTTTAAGCAAAATAGTTGACTACAGTTTGGACAACATTTTTTTATATTAGCACTCATTGTAATAAGTTTTTTATAACATTTATTATATATAAAGGCGTAATATTGTGAGATAATTATCAGAAACGCGCCGTTATTCTCTAGATATACTTCTTGTAACAACAACGATCGGCCATGATAGATAAAAAAATGTAATCAAAGGGTGCGTTTGGCAGAAAAAAGCGCTAGCAAGCGCTTGTAAGCAAAATGGCGAAACTAAACAGTTTTCGGCCAGGACACGTTTGTAACTTCAGTAGCGCTGACACAATCCACCATTTTGCTTATTTAATTTGTTTGTTTTGAAGTACTTTATAAGTTGTTTTGTGCAATATTAGTTTTAAGTAATATAATGACATGAATAGACAAACACATATTATTAAAAATTCATGATTGGTAAGTTTTTAATATGAATACTTTTCAAACATAATATATTTAAATTAGGTTAAGTTCCCCGGTTAAAACTAACTTCGTGTCCTAGAGGAAAATAGCTAGGTACTTACGATTTGACAGCGCTTACCGCTTACGATCGCCATTTTATTTACAAGCGCTTTTTTCTGCCAAACACGGACGCACCCAAAGAGAGAACTCTCTAGGTCTAGTATATACACAATAATCTATGGAGAGAACCCTCTTGCGAGTAAAACTGATACCCCCTTGGAAAGCGCGCCATCTGGTGATTTGTTACGTGTATGTGTGTATGTATACTAAAATTCACGCAAACATGCATGCTCCTTGAATGCCTGCGTATATATAATTACTCACCCGTAGATTCAATATTAGGTATTTATTAAATCGATACTATTTCCATGTCAATTTTAAAGCAATATGTAACATGAAAAAGCGTAATTAGCTAAACATAGATACACCAACAGAAAATTGAAATGGAACAATTAGAGAAATTTCATGAAATACATCTGATCATCATCATCATCATTAAAGCCCTTCACAAGTCCACTGCTGAACATAGGCCTCCCCCAAGTAATGCCACAAAGCACGGTCCTGAGCCACCTGCATCCATCGACCTCCTGCATATCTTACCAGGTCGTCACTCCATCTAGTGGGGGGTCGCCTTACACTACGCCTACCGGTACGAGAAATACATCTAATAGTTTTACAGAAATAAATCAATTATATTCTTAATTTTTTTAATATATAATTTTAGGTAGGTTATGAGGAACAGAAATCATTTATACAATAAAGCTTTAAAAATTCTTATTTTTATATTTATTATAATATATTTGGGCATTCTTTTTTAGAGGGTCTTCACTATCATTATAAGTTAGCTTGCCAGTCAAAATTCTATTGACGGAACTGCATTTTCTTTGTGAAGTTCACAAATGAAGGGGAAATTAACAATAGTTTTTACTAACATTTTTAAATCTGATTTAAAATTAAGTACTAACTTTTAAATTACTTCTTAAAGACTGGGTAATAATGTCTTGTATTTCATTAAAACAATAAGCAACATTGTCCGAAGTGTAGCAAAGCCACTGCTTATTTTGACAATATTCCTTATTCTTAATATATTCATTGTTTTGATTAATTTTATCAGAAATTAAATTAGTTTTACATATTTTACAACCTTTTATTTTTTTAGACATTTTCTCAGGACCCAGCCACAAACATATCTGCTTTGTTGGTGCACTGTATCATTTGTTTTATTACAATTTTGTATGAGAAAATTGTACAACTTACTATTTAATAAAATTTCACCTCTTTCTGAATTAAGCATTTTTTTTTACTTTATCTTCTAAAAAAAGTCTAATGTTTTTAAACAATTATTAAAATCAGCTTCATAATTAGCATCTACTGCTTGTGCAGAAGGGAAATTATTTAAAAGTAGGGTACAAAACCCTTCAAAGCATGCAGCGTTTGGTGCAATATTCCGTACACCCAAACTTCTTATTTTGCCGAAAAAAATTTCCATCGGGTCCTGGTTAAAATTTCTGGTAAGAATGGTGTCAAAATTATATTCTTTACTTAGAATATTCCACAGGGCTTGCATACTCTCGATAGTCTTTATAAAATTTTTAAGGAAGGTTCACATGTTTCTAAAATTCTTACTGTTACCCTCTCTTTTTACTAATTAAAAATTTAATTGAATTTAAAATTTTTAAGCTCTCTTGCCACAACTTATGATGTGGAGAGTTTTTCTTGACCCCTCCTCTATATATTTTTCCATCAAGAACGTGAAAACGTCAAAAAACAATACAAATGGTATTAAACTCCTACATTCTTCCGGCAAAACTCCACTTTTTGTCAAATGTTCTGTAGCAACAGCAACAGAGTGACTGAAAGTTTGTGCTGCTATTTTTACTTTCATCTTCTTTATTTTTGCAGGATTTATGTGCTCCTCTGTCAGCTTATGAAGAAATCTAAAAACAAGGAAAATAAGTTACTCCAGAGCTAGTTACTTTATAACAAAAGCACAGACCAATCCGAAAACTGCAGGTTTTTATGTATCAAATGATTATAATGGCAATCAAAATATACTTGAGCTCGCCGTTAGATTTATAAGCACTATATAGCATTTGTAAACATTTCCACTTTACAATGTGTTCTTTATTTTCCAAATCAAAGAATCGCAAATCTTTTGTAATTAAATTATTTCTGATGCCTTTTATTAAGTGTGGAACATCATATAACGGGATAATAAGTTTTGAATCCACTTCAAATTAATCATATCTCCACTCCTTCCCGTTCCCTAAATATTTGGCTCTGGTTTTTGCAACCAGACTATTTATTGCACCAACATTTGACACACCCTGGTCACATACTGTGCACAAAATTTTCAAGCCTGTAGAATGAACTGCACGAATTACTTCAATTAAAATCTTCTTCAAATCTATTTTATTCAGACTCTGTGTAAAATAATAGCACACAGGTTGTTTATAATTCATTTTTATTCCTTTTATCATGAATCATGAACACAAGAGCATGATTAGCAAATTTCAGTTCTTTGGCATTATTACACGCAAATCCTTTAAATTCATCACTGGATGAATTATACTGCACACGTGGAGTCAAGGACGTTTCATCAAATATCAATGAACACAGACGATCTTCCAGATTCATGCCAGCAACGGTTTCTTTTAATTTTTCAAATATAATTTTATTTATATCTGGTCTGATTTTAATGTCACCCAATAAACTTTTCAGACACTTTGCAGATGGTAATTTAAAATATTTATACATGTGGGAGTAACATTTGGGGCTCTTTTTTAAAAAGTGACAAAGCGAGTATCTTTTCTTCGATACTAAAACATCTGCCTTTTGGTTTTTTAACAGCCTGCTGATACTGCATGCTTGTGAAAATTTTGCCTGGTAAAGTCATATCTTTGGTTTATTTGTTTGTTATCTTCACGCACAATCCCCAAAGGGGTAGCCAGAGAGTACAGATCGCCAAGTATCACGATCCTGACATACCTCTTTCGCTTCTTTCAGGTTCATTAACTTCTTCATACATGCACGTCTAGGTATCCGAGTACTCTTGACCTTCCCCTAATCGAGCTATTTGTTCACATGGTCTTTGAAAGTTAGTCTCGGTCTACCTCGACACCTTTTAATATCTACTTTCGCTTTATATATTTTCTTCACCATTCGGTCTTCACTCATTCGCTCAACGTGCCCAAACCATTAGAGTACGCCCCATTTTTGTGATAAGGTCATCTTTCAACCTGCCATATTGCGAATCTCTTCGTTTCGCTTTCGATCGGCTATGGTAACGCCGCACATTTTACACGAAGAGATCGCATCTCCACTGCATTCAACTTGCTTTTATGCTTCTTCTGGCATACCCAGGTTTCGCTGCCATATAACAAAGTCTGTACCAACACTGCGTTATGTATTGCAAGGCGTGCACTCTTCACCACGCCTTGCCTTTTGACTAATGCATTCAGGGCACCATTGACTTTGTTTCCGGCAGCGACACGCCTATCCACATCTAAATCACATCTTCCATCCCGGCTGAAAGCACTCCCCAAGTATACAATTTCATTTACCTGTTCTAGACATTCCTGATTTACCCATATTTCACATTTCGTTCTCTCTTCGTCCTTTTCAAATACCAGAACCTTAGTTTTATTAGCATTCAAACGGAGACCTTTAATTTCACATTCCTCTTTCATACACGTGACTTATGCCTGCAGTTCTGCTTCTGATGGTGCAATAAGCACTGCATCATCAGCATACAGCAGACAATTTACTTTAATGTCACCCAATTTCACACCCAAACAGCTATTTTTCAGCTTCTGTAAACAGCTGTCGAGATACAGTATGAACAGCCAGGAAGACATGACACAACCCTGTTTTACGCCCGCTTGGACGCTAAACATGGGTGACAGGTCATGCCCTACCCGCACACAGGCTTTACAGTCATAGTAAAGTGACTGCACAGCCCTTAACAATCGACCATCCACACCATATCCCGGCAACAGTTCCCACATTTTCTTCCTTATAACCTTATCAAATGCTTTCTCCAGATCCACAAAAGCACAGAAAATCCTCTGGTTAACACTCAGAAGCTTTTCCGTGATCATGCGGAGAGAAAACATTTGATCCGTGCATCCTCTTCCAGGTCTAAATCCGCATTGTGCCTCCCATAAGAATCTTTCCGATTTCTCTTGCATCCTACGTGTCAAAACCTTCGAGTAAACTTTACTTGCTAAACTGATCAAGCTGATCGCCCGATAGCACCCGCAGTCAAAATGTGAACCTTTACCCTTATATAAAGGCACAATGACCGCGGATCGCCAATCATCCGGGACATCTCCCGTCCGCCAGCACAAATTGCACAGCAGACGAAAGCTGTCCCAGACGCGAGGCCCACCGTACTTGACCATTTATCAGTTATCTTTGGTTATTTTTTGAAAGGCTGATTTAGCAAAAGTTTTTTATGCATTTGCAAGACGTGTTTTATAATCTTTTTCCTTAATTTTAAAGTGTTTTATTTGATTTTTTAATTTCCTAACCTGTTTATTCAGATGCTTATGTTTTTTCTTATCATATTGTAATGATATTTT